ACCCTCTGTCTAACCATCAGGAGCAGAAAGCTCCTCTCTGATGGCTGTGCTTCTCCTAGGAATGCATTTAGGCTGAGGTACTCCTAAGACTAGCACTAAGCAGCTCCTTGTGTTGAGGTTTGGCGAACTGTGCAAGAGAATGGTGTGGCTCTAACATCAGCTGGTGTTCAAATCTTACCACACAAGCCCTGGGTGCGGTTAGCTGAAGGAATGCTCGATGGGACCCGAGTTTGTTGTCCTTTCTGTCTTACAGGTGTCCCTTTTTCCATCTAAAGGCATTTATCAATTCCTTATTCCAAAATGCAATGAAATTAATTTATTTTTTTTGAGTTTGAGAGTTGAAGGTGGAAGAGTTTGACCTTCTTGAGCCAGACAAGAGATGTGAACTTAATGGATCTGCTGCGCACGGGGTGCTGGGCTCTGGAAAGGACCTTTTTTGATCTTTCCTGTTGCAGTTTATCATCCTTGTGTGAATCATAGAATCGTTTAGCTTGGAAAGGACTGTTAATATCATCAAGTAAAACTATGAACCTAGCAATGCCAGGTTCACCACTAAACCATGTCACTTACTTCCTTAGAAAGGCTGATCCTGCAGCCTGGTAGCCACACACAGTCTTGGTTAGGAGAGCCAAGAAAAGAGTCCTCCAGTCCTGAGAAATGGGATGGGTTGTACCCCGTCACAGCTCTTTGAAAAGCTCAAGAAGCAGAGCTATCTTCATAGAATCATCACACAGTTTTGGTTGGAAGATACCTTCAAGATTGAGTCCAACCTTTGTCCTAGCCCTATCAACACACTGTTCCTCAGCACAACATCTACCTGTTTCTTAAACACCTCCAGGGATGGACTCAACCACCTCCCTGCACAGGCTGTTCCAATGCCTGACAACCCTCTTGGTGAAGTTCTTCCTAACATCCAATCTGAACCTCCTCTGGTGCAACTTAAAGCCGTTTTCCTTCCAGTTGGGCCTGGAACAACCGTCTCCTCTGATACTGTGTTAGTGAGAAAAATGATTTGTTAAGAGTCAATAAATACAGTTATTAATGAAAATGCCATCCTGGTGACAGGGACATGTGAACCCAGGCATGGCTGACACATGTGGGAGGTTCCTTCAGCTGGAGTCAGCTCCAAGCAGCTGATGAAGGCAACACATAGCTGACTCAAAGCAAGGACAACTTTTAGGGAACATCCCCTGGGATGACAGCAGCTACTGGGCTCCAATCCCACTCTGAACTCTGTGTCTGCAGCAGAGGTCTCATAGCCATGTAACTTTCTGCTGGTCCACAACTAATATTCGCACTTGGTGCTTTCTGCTCCCATGCCTCACGCAGCCCTGCCTGTCCCACTGGCTGGCAGCACTTGGAACCAGCCTGTCCTTCGCAGGGGTCAAATCCACCGTGTTCCCCACGTAGCAGCAGGACCTTCCCGCTCATTCCCAGCCCCTCGGCACATGGATTTTTCACCTGGGGCAGCTGCATCGCTGCTGCCTTGCATCAGCTCAGGCTTATGCCTGTACCTAACTAGGCTTACCAAGTAGGAAATCTCTGATGACTCAAAGAAGTGGTCATTTGGGAGAAGCAATGCTAGATGAGACATGCTTTTAATTGCATTTAATGGCATTTAGCGCAGTGATACTTCCACTAGTGCCTATGGGACCCACTTGTCAACCAAGGTTTTGACCACTAATAATCAAGAACACCCACGTGAGCAATGAGTGAGGAGACAGCAGCACATGGGAAGACCAGCAGGGAATTAATGCACATTGCTGCTGCGAGGTCAGAGTTTAAATTAATACAAATGTGGGGGCTGGGGAATCAGACTTGAACACCTACGAGCCTCCTCCTCCTCTCTTTCAGCAGATGGCAATCCTGCTAACAGCACTTGTGTAAGGTCCCCCTGCAGAACAAGTGGAGCAGAGCTTGAGAGTTTCTGCTGGTTATTATGTGTTGGAGGCAAGTGAGATTGCCTAAAATGCTTAAGTCATTATGGCAGCCTCGCCATGAAGTCAGAGCAGTCCTGCAGTGCCATGTACTGCAGAAAGGAGAATGTGGAGCCTGTAGCAGCCCTGCTGCTTCTGCCTCTAGGGTGGTTTCTGCTGCAAAGACCCTGTGGCTCGGCTGCAGGCTGGATGATGACCTGCCAGCAGCACCTCTCAACTCTGTCGTTACTGGGAGGCAAGAGCCAACGGAGACCTTGAATGCACAGCACAGGTCTCGGTGTTGGCCCAAGAGAGCATCTTCCATCCTCTTTGGTCAGCAGCCCTGTGGGCTCATTGCGCCTGGTTCTCAGGCCAGGTGGATTTTGGGGCTAAAATTCCAGCTGCACCGTAACAAGCCAGCAAGCCTTCAGACTCGTGCAGGAAACAGGTAAAGTGCTTCATGAGCTGAACACGATACTCAAGGTGTGACCTCACCAGTGCTGAGTACAGAGGGACAATCACTTCCCTTCTTCTGCTGGTCACAAACTTTCTAATAAAAGCCAGGATGCCGTTGGCCTTCTTGGCCACCTGGGCACACTGCTGGCTCATATTCAGAGCTCTCTGGCTTCTGGACTGTCTGCTGGATTTATTTTCTTAGTTTATCCTTGCATAGCTTTTCCTAGTTCCATTTCTTAGTTCCATTTTTGAAATGGTGTTTCCTTGCTATCCCATTCCTCATATTACCTTGAAAACTAGCATTGCTCTGGAGAAGGCTGCAGGTGAACCAGGGCACCTTGGCTTTCCTCAGCCTCTCTGCTGTTAGGTGAAAACTCCACTGCTTTTTTACTTCTGGCACTCTCTGTGTTTTTAATGATGCCCATAAAAACTATACTTTCTGTGAAAAACAAACCCCATAAAAAATGGTGTGCCGTCATAAAAAATGTGTGACACTTTCCATTACTCCTGAGTAGAGCCTATTTACCCTGTCCAAAGGCACTCTGCAGATCAATAAAATACCTATGTATATTCTGGCATTTCATGCTGGCTGATTATATCCGTCTCAGCTGAAGACAAGTAGTGAAGCAGTATGCTTACATGAAACCAAAGGTACAAGCGTACCCAAAATACCTTCCGGCTAAGCTAGTCCTGGTGGGGATGCCACTAAAGGTAACATTTTCCCTCTGAAATGGCAAAGTCATTTTTACCTGTGGCACTGAACTACAGCACTACTACATCTGAAATGCATGGCATTCTCCTGCATGCTTTTAAAAGATCATGTGAGGAGCAACACAAGGGAGAGGCTGACCTGGACTTTCTTAGGCACCTTAGCAGCTCAAACAGGACACGAATGCAGCAGAGGAGCCCTGCTCACGAAAAGGAGTTCTCTTCCTACATGCTTGCAAATGCAAATGTCCGGAGGGCTCAAGCAGCACAAGGAAGACAGAGATGTGGATGTGTGCAGGCTCTGGTTCTTGCTGGGGAGCACATCATGTACCACAGCAAGACACGAAGGCTGATTTCCTGGGTTCCTCTCGGCAGCCTTGGATATCTCCTGCAGCCATCAGCAAGTTGGGTTCTGCTCAGATAGCCTGGAGAGACAAGGAGTGACATTTATGAAAGCACACACATGCACACACACACATCCCCTGAATGTAATTTGCTTTTCAAAAAGCCTCAGTAGTCTACCTCCCAGGAACTGGACACTTCATGCCATGGAGAGCTGAGCACCAGCAGGAAGCGTATCTGCAGAGAGATACTTGCACAAACAATTCTAGAAGCAAATGAGTTGAGCAAAATGGTGTGACTTACGCATACGGGGGCAGAGTTGTTTTACAAACCTCTGAAGGCATTTGACTCCCCCTCCGAACCTGTCATTGCTTCCAAGTGGACCAATAACAGAATGTTTGCTTTTCATGCAGAACGATTATTTTATTACTATGTGCAGAAGTAATGCATGCATCTGAAGGACCTGAGGGAATGTGAAAGTTATACTATAAAAATCTCACCTTCTGCTTCATTTACAGGCGTACTAATGAGTTTTTTTCCACTCTGTTTTCTTTGCTCTTTAACATAAAAGCTTTGAGAATATAATTAAACAGTCCTGCCCCACCTCCCTCCCTGCTCCCTCACAAAATGGATGAATAGACAACCCTTGCAATGTGCATTTTGAAATGGGGGAACAGAGACAGGGATGCATTAAGCAATCTTCCCCTAAACACACGGAAACCCAGCCAAGAAGGCAGCAATAAAAACCCACAAAAAGCCCTTGATACCTGTGCTACGTAAATCACAACATGTGTTCAGTCAATAATGTAGAACATTGTGTGGTAAAAATTAAAATAACGCTTTTATTGATAGGCTTAAACATAAATCACAACATCATAAAACCAAACAAAAGATAAGTCTATTCCTTGATGTACCTAACAGACAGATATTTCTTTTTTTTTTTTTTTTTAATCAGTAATCACTTGTAGGAGACTGTTGTCTTCTCACTGACCTGTGTATGAAACAAGCTTCACTTTAGGGTTTTTTTAACTGTGACAATTTGTTCCCATGGAGTCTGAGGACTGTGATGAGCACCACGGTTGTGACTGTTTTTCCTAAAGCCTGGTCTTGAAAGGAGCATCTCATCCATTCCAACCCAAGACTGCACAAAGGGTTATGCAGCTTTGCAGCTTTCCAGACAAAGCCCTGACAGATCCCAGCAGAAGTGAGCCCATTAACCTGGTTCTACTGGAATGCAAACCCACAAAGTTATGGGTTCCTCTAGGAACCTTCAAAGTCATCGAGGCTTGTAAAAGCCACAAAGCTACCAAGAAAAAGTAAGATCAGAAATCAAAAGGTTTGTAATAAAGAATAATCTAATACAAGTTCTATAAATATTTTTTTCCTGTCAAAAGACATAGCACTTATAGAAACTTAAAAGAAATATTTCTTGGAAAAAAGAAATGAAGTTACAGAAAATTACGAAGTATCAGCTGCTTTAATTTAACTTGAACCTTGCAGAATTGCGCTGTGCTCAGTCCTGTCTGTAAGCCCACCACGGTTCCCTCAGTGCAGTGACTCTTTCTGTAAACACTTTTGTTAATCACTCTTGTCTTCTCCTTGGTAGTGCCTGTATTCTGGCTTCAGCTCCCATGTGTTTTTGTGGGTCCCCTTCACGTTGTAGATGCCTATTTCTCTTAAAATCTCCTTCAAGTATATCTGAAAGGAAACAAAAATTCCAATTACACAGGCAGAATTACACAATGTACACAAATTACACAATTTACACAAATTACATGATTGCCGTAGCTCCTAACACGACATCACACGATCTGCTCGATCTCATCGACTTGCTTCACAGAAAGCATTTGGCACTAATTTGAGCTATAATGACTCCAACCCCTGGGCACCAACGAGGAGTAGAGCAGCCTGCATATAACATCTAGTGCAAGCCCCAGGGATGCAGCAGGGAGAGGCAGGTACCAGCTAGAAGGATGCTCCACGGGCTGCTGAAAGGAAGCTCCCTGTGCCTCTGGGAACGTGATGCTGAGGTTCTCTCACATGTCTTCCTCCTGCTGGAATTTCTCCACCTGAGCTAAAAGCTCTTGGCTTTTCATCTTGCTTGGGCTGGGATTATCCTGGAACTCCCAGCCTTATTCTGACTCTATCAAAGCCCTGAGCTGTTGATTTTCATGGCATTTTGGAAAGCTTTAAGCATTCTATTATGGCCTCATCTTTAGAGGAGAGCTATAAATTTGTATTTTAAGGGCAAGAAGAGATTAAAAAAGCCAGACAAGCAAAGCTGTAGTATAACCTTTGACACAAGACAACTCACTAGTATCACCCTCCTTTAACCTTTATAATAAACACCAGTAATTTGTTTCATTTTTTAAAGAGCCATTTGCCTGCTTGTTTGTTTAAATATTAATTGGGACTGACTTGAGTAGATTGCCATGGCAACTGCAGACCACAGTTTAAGAAGCCCCACATTAAATTCACAACAGCTTTAGTTTAAACAATTTAATCTTCTTTGAGTGCATATATTGAACTGGAGTTACCAGAATCCTTGTATTTTCTGTATATCTAGTTTCACTAAGCACAAATATCAACATATTCTAATTCATTAAAAAAAGAAAATATTTGTTGATGACACAGGAAAAAAGAAAGGCTGATTGACCAGGCTCTTCGTTACACTCTTCTCATTTTCTGCTAAATGGAAAAGTTGGGAAATAAATAAAAAGTATGCTCTCGATACGTAAAAACAAATCTCTTTTAGAGGAACCAATCACTCTCTCTCCAGGTACACATCAAAACATTACAAAGCAAAAAAAATTCCAGATCCCACAACAATGACAATACTTAGTTTGCACTCACGTGGTGAAATCATTCTTAAAAAACCTGTCTCAAAGCAATGAGGGGCCTTCTTCTAAAAAATATGAGAGACAACTGTAACAGCTGGTGCACACAAACTAGTTTCCTGGGGTCTTGGAGCCGGTAGCGGGGAGTTCATTTTGTTTTTTTGTCTTGTGAGGGTGCATGGTGCAAACCCCAGCAGGTGGCAGCAGGAGATCAATCCACATCTCAGAACACACCTTTCCACATCTCATCCCTGGCAGAGACGCTGCCCTTATTTGATATTTGAGAGTTGGGTACCTAAAGGCAGATGTACTCGCTGCAACAACAATTTTTTTTTCGCAAAACAATGTATCTCATGAAAGGTGGTGAAAGCAGGTGGGAAAGTGATTTCTACGTGGGTATGTGTAGATATACCAGCATATCCACTGCTTTTTGTTTGCCATCCTTGTGCACGCAGGCAAGGCAGCTTTCAGCAGCATCACCAACAGGCACCTCAAAAGGTGGCAGAGTGGGTGGAAGAAACACTCTGATGCAAGGTTAAACTGCTCTAGAGCACACGGACGGATTAATGATGAGAGAATAAGAAAGCAGAGTGACTTTACAAATGAGTGATAAAACAAGAAGGGCAGCGTGTGGTTTTTTCATAGAATCACAGAATCATCCAGGTTGGAAAAGACCCTTGGGATCATTGAGTCCAACCATTAACCCTACTTGCAAGTTCACCCCTAAACCATATCACCCAACACCACATCTAAGTGACACTTAAAACACATCCAGGGATGGCGACTCAACCACCTCCCTGGGCAGCCTGTCCCAATATCCCACAACTCTTTCCGTGAAGAACTTCTTCCTAGTGTCTAGTCTAAATCTACTTGTTAGTGATGGAACAAAGAGGAGAGTGTCCTTCATGAGTGAGGGAGTCCCAGCACGCAGCCTGTGAGGAGACACCTGGACCAGTAGGGCTGTTAGTTAAGTCAACAGCAAGGATGCTCTAAACTTTGGAACTTTGAGAAAGAGTGCTTAATAGGTCCATGAATATTAACTTCTCCAGCATAAAGTTGGAGTTAATGAAACACACGATGTGTGTTGTTAAGGGGGGTACATGTTAAGGGAGAACACGGAACAGGTGGATCAGGAATTCTGTTCATCCTGAGTACCTCAGCCAATGGGGAAAGGGAGAGGGATTCATGCGGCCGGGAAATCAGGGTAAAAGGAGGCTGCGTTGTCCGGCAATTTGAGACCTCACTGGGACTGGGCAACCCCGGTGAACTCTCCCTTTATTCAGATAAACTCTCCCTTTATTCAAATAAAGTCCTCTGTCTTCTTTGTGAACACTGACCCCTGGCAACGTGATTTTCTGTACAAGGAGAACTGGGGAAAAAAAAAAATATAATTGCACTTAGTCCCATGAAATACATTCGTATGTGGTTTCTGGGCTGGGAGACGCCGTCTGCACCTGGGAAGGCAGGGCACAAGGCATGATGATGCTGCAGGGCTCAGGCAGAATGAAACAACTACGGCTGCTCTGTTCACGGCTCTCAGCGTCTCGCCACTGTTTGGTGGCAGTATCTTTGGGTGATGTTTTGCATGGGGGCCGTTCTTGTCTCTCACTACTTGCTCAAGCCTCCCAACTGCCCACTCCGTTAATTTCAGCTAGTTTTCAGACCCAATTCTCCAAGCAGTTCTGCTTCTCTGTGGGCAAAACTTCGAAGAGTTTTGCTTCAACAAGCTGAGAAAAATGGAACAAAACCAACCCAAACTGAATAGCCAGGTAATGTCCGTGCTGTAAGGAAGGACACTTCAAACTGGGACCTCAGTCGAGGATTTGCAAGATATTCCTACCTTCCCCCTCTGCTGTGGCGGGGGAAACAAGCAGCAGTGGTTCTAAGGAGGGCAGCTGAGAGCGTTAAGCCAAAAAAATCACTCTGTGTGTGCGGGCAATGCTGAACCGTGGGACCTTTCAGACAACTGTGAATCAGGGATCATCCTGCTGTACTGTACCACTTCCTCCAGTGATGCCAAACACTGTATTTTAGACCATGGTAAGGGCTAACTAAGGGCCCATAATTTCTTCTCAGAAAGGGTTTCAGTATGTTTATAAACATATAATTCTGTCATTGAAGCTAACCTGTAGGTAATCTGTTTGTACACTGAAGGCAGCCTGTGCTCTGTTTCACCTCCCCTGATGATTTTTTCCATAAAAAGTCAAATGGCTCACCTTTCTGAAACTTTTGAGGGAAACAATCCTCATGCTATTTAAGATAACTATTACTTAAAGCTGAAATAAAAGAAAAAACTGCAAACAATCTACCCCATGTTGAAAAAATAGAGTTCATATTAGACCACTGGTTCCATACTGCTTCTATTCCTCACAAATATTTGATTGCTCACAAAAAAAGCATATTATCTTCTCAGCTATGAAGTCCAAATCTAGAATTACTGTGATATTTCCAGGGAGCACTCAGTATTTACATCTGGGTAGGTGGCAACAGATTTGCCTGCTACCCCGAAATGTTTTTATTCATTAAAAAGGAAAACAAATAAACTCAAGTTTCCCTAACATAACAGTAGTTTGTGTTTAGAATAGACTTGCTTTGTGGTTTCATAACTGCAAAATAAAGGTGGCAACAAACTCCCAAGTAACATGCAACACATTCTGCATTGAGGGTTTAATTTACTATTTACATTTACCATTATGTAAGAAAAAGCCTTTTGTTTTATTTGTTACTTCACTAACAAAGGTATTAATTCCACCTGAAAAATTTGTTTCAAATATTATTAGCCAATGATGTAAGCACCTAGAACTTCATTTTAACTGGAGCTGAGGAGACAGCAGCAGCAGCGCTTTTTTCTTCGCATCTGAAAATAACCTCAACATTTAGAAACTCAGAGCAGAAATTACATACCCAGACAATCTCAGACACTATGACAGAAAATAAAGCAATGAACACCCAGCAGAGATTAATTAGCAGCCAACCTCCCTACAGCATGGGGAAAGCATGCCTATTCACCTGTTGGCATTTTACTTTTTTGTTGCCAGGTATAGCTGCTCTGCGAACAATGAAGTCACAGTGGGCAGTAGGAAAAGATACTTATTTTCAGAAAAAAACCCCATACGTTGCATGCCAGAGGTAGAAGTCCACAGCACTAGTGATGCTTGCACAGGGAGCAAACACTGGCCGAGCAGCAGGAACCAAGTGATAGTCTTTTAAAAATGGAAATGAATGCTCTTAGCAACTCCCTACAGAAGTTTTTAATGGGAAAGCAGATGGGAAGTCAGGATAGCTTTAGATGAGGGGTAGATGACAGGCTGAAAGACAGTTTTGAATTTATCACCATACTGGCTACACCCAGTGAACAAAGAAAGGCATCGGGAAGAGGATTTTGGTCGTTTATTTTCTCAGGATATCTGGGTCTGAGGAAGCTGGACGGGTACCAACACCTACAGCAAAACCCTGGCTTGGAATGAATGCGAAACCCCGAACTCACACACAGCTCAAAACTGGGACCTCACAGCCCACTCAAGGCAAGAAGCTCTAATGGTCCAATAAATCCCAGGAGCCCTATGGGACTTTAAGTCATCAGTAGAGACTCAAATAAGGAACACAGATGCAAAGATATAACCCAAATAATGTGCTATTGGGTCAAATCAGTCTACAATTTTCTTTTAACATATCTGTATTACTACAGTGGTTTAAAAAAAAAAAAAGAGGCTAAATTTGCTGAGATGAAAGCACACAGCACAGATCTACTATGCTACAGGCAGAATATATTCAGCAGAATATGATGACAGCAGAGATACTGACAGGGATAGAAAGTCATAAATGCAACATAAGTGTTCTTGTGAAGTATATAGACAGAAATTCATTGTAAATGTAACAGAAGACTTCATGTGAGGTATTTTGCTCTATACATCTAATCTAAAAACTACTCTACGCATCTAATCCTTACAGCAACGACTAAGACAAAAATTGGATTAATCTTGCCCGATTTTTGGTGCTTAATCATAGAATCATAGAATCATAGAACAATTCAGGTTGGAAAAGACCCTTCGGATCATCAAGTCCAACCACTAACCCTACACTACAAGGTCACCCCTAAACCATATCACCCAACACCACATCTAAACGACACTTGAACACATCCAGGGATGGTGACTCAACCACCTCCCTAGGCAGTCTGTTCC